GAGAAATACGAGAGAAATCGTTATTACTTGTACAATTTTTTATATTTACCTACGTTTGTTGTGACTTTGAAATTGGGCGATACGTGAAAAACGCTTTATACAGGGTGTATGCGTAATAAAATCGCATCGATTTTGCGAAAGTTATATTGTGGTCTGCAGGAGCACGATAGAAAAACAGTTGTTCGCAGCTGTACGCGTATGAAGTTGCCCCGCACAGCGACAATTTTTCGAAAACAATGTTGTTTTTCCGAAATGAAGTTGGAGTCTTCTGTATGCGTCATGAATGATAGCTTTCGTTATCAATAACGACTACGCAATCAGGCGGAACATATTTCTAGTAGTAATCTCCCGTATGATACAACTGAAAGCTTAGCAAACCTTTTAACAATCCCTCTTCGCCTCCAATGTGGACGATTATTAGTCTCTTCCCTTTTCCCGAAGGCACCTTAATGGCAGTTGACAGGCCTTCCACGAGAGCTTGGCGAGCACTAGTTTTATATATATATATATATATATATATATATATATATATATATATATATATATATATATATATATATATATATATATATATATATATATATATATATATATATATATATATATATGATGACGCTATATTCCGGGATATCATCCTCGGTTCGCTCGTTAAACTCCGACTGGAAGACGGATGATATCCCGGAATATAGTGTCATCACATTTTTCCATCCGTAGTCAGGGTATTATATATTTAAACATCACTATTTTAATGTTGCTGGTGTCCGCTCCGAATAACTCTGGAAATGATTAAAATCATAGAGGTATTAAATATAAAGCAAAGGTACCACGGATCAAGAAAAATGTAATTAACCGCCGATTAGCACCGTCTTTCACTGATGATATAAAAAAAATTGAAAAGGGGTTTCTGAAATGATGATGATGTGATGATAGTGATTATTAATTAGTAATGATTTTCGGCAAAACACTTAAGCACGTACCTGAGTAGTAGTAGTGCCTAAAAATTATCCCAACATACTTTAATAAAAATCCCTAAAATTGCCACACACGCAATTTAAATACGAATTATAGTGCGTTTCTTGGTTGACTTTTTTACGTGTAGCAGATTAGGCTTATTACCCTTCAATACTGATGCCGAATGGTGTCGTCATATTTACCCTTAAATTTAAGTTTAGACCTAACAACTATTTCTGAATTAAAAAAATTTCTGATCGAAAACGAAACTCACATTTCTTCCAAAAAAACCTCTTCGCAGTCTCTTGTCTTAGAAGAACGGATTGTTTTTCTGTCGTGCTCCTGTATAAAGCGACTTTCATGACTTGCCGAACTTCGAAGTCATGGCAATAATAGCGATTTCAAATGAAATATTTTCAAATATCTCGTGCACCCTGTATGATAGACGAAACTTGAAACTCTCTTTCGACACAATTTTCGATACTGTTTAAACGAAATTATCTCACTTTTCATAGCTTCTCTTTGTTTTTTTTTACAAATCACCGACACGCCCTGTACATAATAAAGAAATGCCGCAAGTAAAAGTTTCCCGGTATATGAATTTTTTCAATAGGATAAATAGTTTTCGAGAAAATACCTCTATTCTGAAACCCTGCAGTATACCGTAATACTAAATGACATCATCGCGTCTAGATTGAGTGAGTGATATTGCGATTCTCTGATGGATTTTTTCAAGTATCTCGAACAGCGTACGTGAAAGATGAAAGTCATCAATACAAAAATTGTAGCCCCTTTAATATTGTTTGAACGGATAAGCTATTTTTGGTACGATTTTTGTTTTACGGTTAATAATTTACTCTCTAAAAGAACAATTTTCAGGGTCTTTTAGATTTTTGTCTATAAACACCTTGTATGTAATCGAAAAAATGCGTGAAACAAAAGTTATAGCGCCGGATCTCCCACGTATTATGGTTGTAAAATTTTTCCAATCGGATGAATGGTTTGGAGGAAAAGATGTTTTCCAGGAAGCCAAATTAACTAGAAAAAAATAAAAATTAAAAGAAAATACCTTGCGTTATTTTATTGCTTCCAATTTATAGAGTCTAAATGCGGGTCCGGACTTCTACTTTTCTGCCAAGTCTAAAGTCCAATTTTAGGACACATTTCTTATATAACGCGGAATATCGTGAACACCCTGTACAAAACTTAAAAACCTTAAATACAAAAGTTTTAGCTGTCTATACGAGCTATAGTGTGATGTAATAGAAACTGACATCTAAAACACGGATTTTAAATTATTTCCAATTTTCAGTAATAGGGGGACCCATTTTTCAGTTTTTTTGGTATTTTTTGTAGACCCTTGCACACGTGATTTTTAATTTTTTTAAAATACTTTCCGAACCCCCAGCTCCGCAATTTTCAAAAAACCGTCGAAAATCGCGAGAAAGACGGATGCCGGCGTCGAATCGAGGCCATTTCTTAAAAGCTTATGTATCTTGTGGAAGGTTAAAAAGGAGGCGAATTTCAATTTTGGAGCTCCAATGGTTCGCAAGTTATTCAGGAAAAACCAATAGACGAGAACGGAGAACGGAGAACGGACAAACACAATTTGTTTTTTGCGCTGAACATTTCTGTACCGAGTAACCGAGACATAAAATTTTTATACGAGCGTAGATACTTTCGAAAAATTCGATTTTTTGCAAGTAACAATGAAATAAAATGTGTCACAAAAATACCGGATTTTTTTATTGATATGGACTGGGAAAATGATACTAATATCAAATTTTTTTAACAATTTTTTAGTCGATTGAGTCAATAGTTTGAAAAATATGTGTTCGCCTGATAAAAAATACGATTTCTCCAGATGTAGGCCTTGCAGACGGTATGTATTTAAGTCCATAGTTATATACAGAAGTTAGTAATGTAATATGGTCAGTCACTAAGAAATATTCAGCAGGTTCGGGCGGCATTCCCTGCGCGGAGTTAAGGCATGTGATCGAAACTATATTACAATTATTCTCATTAATTATTCCTTTTTTTGTGGATCCTTTCTCAGCATTCCAAAAAATGCGTTAATCACACCACTCTATAAAAAAACGGTGCAACAATTATTTTAAATTACTGAGCTGTAGCACGCCTATCTGTTTTCCACTGCAATCACGACTTTAAAATGCATATTCATTGCAAGTTAGAACAAAGGTAGCAAACAGCGTGCGTTTTGTTCGATCTACAAAGAGCATTTGACTTGGTCGATGTTGATAGTTTAGTGGACAAGCTTTGTTAATAAGGCATTAGAGGTAACGCCTTAAATTGGTCTTTTCTTAGGAGTCGTACGCAGTTGGTCAAATTGCGAGATACCTTAGGATTTGAATACATCTCTGACTCTAGATCAGTGGATTGTTTATAGTGCTTATAAATGATGTGTTTTCTTATTTCCCCCATACTTATTTTTCCCTTTTTGCGGATGATGCAGTTTCCATCCTTTCCGCACCATCGTCTGCGCAACTTAACATTGCAACCAAGACAAATGTTGAGCAAATGAAACATTATACAGAAATTAATAAATTGATACTAAATGAATGTAAAACTCAGATGATCGCCTTTTCAATACGGGATTTAAATGAGGGTTTATTAGTACGCTTCAATGAAAGCACAATTCAACAAAAAAGTGTTGTAAAATTCCTCGGAGTTTATGAAGACTCGAGACTCTCCTGGTTCGAACAGATGGATCACATTCTTAAAAAACTTTCTGTTTATTGCTTTCTCATGTGGAGGCTCCAATATCAGGTTTCTTTTGTCTTGGTAAAAATGTATTATTTTCTTATGTCCATTCCTGTTTTAACTACGCCTTGATTTGTTGGGGAGGTTCCCGACGTGCGGAGCAAGTCTTTACGATGCAGAAACGCATTTTACGGACTTTACTGTTTAAGCAGTGGAATTCTTCATATCGAGACCTATTTCCACAACACACTTGACACTTTCTAGTATGTACATACTCGATTATGCCACTTATGTAAAAAGCAACTCTAATCTTTATATGCTCTCAAGAAACTTAGATATTCAGATCTCAGATATTCAGTGCAATTTAAGACCGAATGCTAACATACAAATACCTAAATACCGACTGCCTCTTACATGAAATAGTCCTTTTGTTCTGACGATAAAAATTTATAATAATTGCCCATCGAACCCAAGGAAATAGCTAGCCAAACAAAATTCAAATGCAAGAATTTTTTTTCTTGTGATACCTTTTAATAAGTATTCGTTGTTTGTTATTGTCTATATATTTGTTATTTATCTAACATTACTGATTATTATTATTATTAATCAATAACATAATTTTATATTATTTATATTTGTAATATATGGAAATCAAGCTATCTTTACACAAATAATATGAATGTTATATGTTAAAGTTTGATGAATGTTATAGTAAACTTCTACATTTAGATACGTGGTCCGATAATAAAGATAAAAATGTAAGAATTATATAAATTTTACCTTTATATACCCACAAAACGATACTCTTGCAGAACATATTCAAATGACATTTGTTTTTGGTTCGTTACTTTCCTCCATCCCGTTTTCAAAATTTTTTTAACCCACGTTCTAAACATAACATATAGTTACCGTAACACCATTAACGTGTCCACAGTACTAAAATGCTAAAATAAAAATACCTCCCTGTACTGTAGTATACCTCCCTGTAGAGCGGCTTTTTATTGGTTTATTGTTGGATTTATTGAGGGTAAAAGGCCTTATGGTTATGATAGGGTCACCAAGTCATGACCATTTATTGCGTGCTCTGCTATAACACAACTAGATCTATTTTTGGTACTGAAAAATTTTCAAGAACATAAAACGAGTTCCTTACGAAAATGTCAAACCAGAAATTTGAACGAGCACATCTTTCGTTTCTCCCACCTTTCTTTCAGCGATGGTTGTCCATTGTGAAAGAGTTGGACGTCTAATTGTACGCCGAATAGTTTTATAACCAATGAATTCGCAAAACAATCAACACATTTACCATTTAAAAAATGTGTCTATTTAAATTGTTTTGAAAAAAGACAAGATGGGAAAATTACAGCTACCGTGTTGTAGGAAGTGCCTACATTATTTTCCTAAGCCCAAAGGGGAAAACATTTATTTGCAAATTTTTACAGCCTGCTCGTAACTGGGAGCGGCCTCTTCATCTTTTGTTTCCGCCACCACGCACTCGGTAGCTGGTTTTTCATTCAAACGGTTTTCGTCTGGCGGTTTGGCCATCGTCACCGCTTCGGTGTATTCCGGAGGAGGATCTTTAGCGCCGACAGGAGTCGAATCTCGGGAATTCTCCGATAACAGTTCTGAAAGCGACCAGTTCGACATGTGCATCATAGAACTTCGCCTCTACCAACGATTTCGATAGTTCCTTATAAGGTTTTCCAACACCCTGTCCACTCCGGCGGCACGACCCGTGGGATCGGCCCTTCCAGAAGCAACGGCCACCCTGTTGTTATTCCTGATGATTTGTCGAGCCTTTTCTATCTTCTTGCAGTACCAGCAGATCAAATAGACCGTCACAAAGGCGAACAAAACGCACAACCTATAACCGGCGGTCTATAAAACGACTCGAGAGATGTAGAAGCCTTACCAAAAGGCCCAGCAGTGCTTACCAAAAAGTCCAAGACTGGAGATAGCGAGCTGGACCCATCGGGCAACAGCCATTTCCTCGACGGCAACAGATCTCACGCTCGAAACACACGTACCGGTATGTCGTGGAGTTGGGATGTTTGTACACGCAGTATCTCAACTCCGCAGGCTGCAATTCAAAAATGGTTGTAGTTTTCTTCTAGGTATTCGAAAACGTCGCTTACCAATTTTAACGTCATTTCCGGGGATTTGACGTTGACAACCGGTCCAATCTCTTTCATTTTGTTGCCGGGTTCCCTATAATAGAGTTATTTCACGGACTTAGAAGCTTTTGTTCTAAAATTTCTCCTAAAAAGATGGTCCAAAATTACCAATTTGAGTCTGTTGATGGGGCTGCACGAATTGATGTGATATATCCTGACTTTACAAAATCATTTGACTTTATTTGGTAGCGCGTTCGATGTTAGTTTCTTTTTATATGATGACGACAGATTCGCTCCACTGCACTCTGCTCGTGCCAAATAAACTCGTTACTCAAATGCCGTTTACCATACTTGTTGCATAATATACTATTAAGAAGATTCTGTTTTCTTTTCATTCTAAAGAGTAACTTGCAACTTAATATACCTAAATAATATCCTATATATCTTTTTCGGATATTGTCTATAGGGATTATATTTTCATTATGGTCTGTCTGTTCATAGATATAAGAAAGTGACCAATTGCTTTGAATGGGATTATCCAAGGGTGGTCATTAACATACAATGCAACAAGATTATTACCTAAAGTTTCGGAATTTAAATTCAGGTAAAATTGTGGTCCGTAATAGAAAATAATTTTATACCTACCTGTGTTTAATATTCTTTGGTTTGGTATAGTACTTGGTTTAAGTTTATTAGTAATCATTTTTATTTCGTGTGTAATACAGCGTGTGCGAATTATGCAAAATATGTGCGGGTCTAGTGTATCTCAGGAGATGCGCCTGCCGAAATGTAGAAAACACTAAGACTAAGGAAGTTATAAACAATGTTTACTTGACTCTCACTTGGTGCCAGCAAGCAAGCATCTTTAGAAGAAACGGAAACATTGACGAAAATTCCAACATCAACTGTATGGAAAATTGTGAATAACCCCATTTCAGCGAGGAAAAAAAGAAGCGATGTTGACATTTTCCTGAGTGTAGATGAAAGTCATCAAGATCTAATACGACGTAAAATTTACCAGTTATATGAGGAACAAAGCGTGCTTATATTAGATATCTTAATTAGGAGGCTTGAAAAAAATGAAACCGGTGTTAAATGTGGCAGAACTACCTTATGGAAGTGTACTCAACACTTGGGTTTTAGATTTAAAAAAATTGACAAAAGGCAAGTTATGGTTAGTTTTTTTTTAATGGAATCTTTTAGAACCCAGAAATAACGACTGGAATATCTAGAAAATATTAGGATTTACAGAAAACAACAAAGGCCAATTATTTACTTGGATGAAACCTGGTTCGACACTTATGATGCCCCGGAAAAGGGTTGGGTTGACTCAACTGATAATTGTAAAAGAGGTAAAGAGGTATTTTGCATACTGGCTCTAAAGATGGTTGGATTCCAAACGGACTTTCTCTGTCTCCGATGATAGCGATAGTGATACTGATATATTACGTGAATAATTTTAAGTAATTTAAGTAGTTAATAATTTGTAATTTTATTTTAGATTTAAACAGAAATACACACATAAATAAAAAAATATTGTTTAGTATCTTTCCTAACAAAACTCCAAATAATTAATTTCTAAGCGGCCATATTTCATTCTTACAGCTTGTACGGGTCTTTCCTTAATTCGTATCAGTTACTTTATTACATCTATGAACAGACTTTACACTAGTTACTCTGTTCAATATATTTCATTGCACACATTTTTTCTGCCTACACCGCGCATTACTATTTCAAAAATTACTCCCATTTACTCAATGTATTTATATTTCATCTCTTTTAAACCAGTAAAGAAATTATTGTCGAAAAGTATAATTCCCGAAAAATTGAATATATATATATATATATATATATATATATATATATATATATATATATATATATATATATATATATATATATATATATATATATATATATCGTTTTTACAAACAAAGCAAAAGAAAACTGACCGGTAAATTAAACTAGCTAATTTTCGTACATTGCAGGGGGTGCATAATGACACAGCGATATCAAGACTTCATTTTGAACCTTAAGCAACTTATTTTCGACGTTATTCTATGGCTAAATATTTTCTTAAGTGTGAGATAGGTGAGAGACATTTTCATTACTTTAACTTTTGTCAGGCTGCACCTAGCGGTTGGGTTTGTAACTTGTCAGGTTGATTTAGTATCACAAATAAATAAATGTTCATAACCACCCGTATTACGGAGTAACAGATGACGTAATGCTGTTCCGCTTTGGACGTTTCGGGAAGCAAACTGAATTAAATGTTTATTGTTATTTATATTGTAGAAAACGGGGCGCGGACGATGAGTAATGGTCCCCCACCCCCCGGATAAATATGTCACCATTAAACTTGTTGACACGTTCGGGAATTTATTCAGGGATTACGCAATTTGTCGCTACGGCTGCTGGATTTATAGCGCCCGTATTGCGCGAGCCGGATTGTTGTTATTTTTGTATTATGTATATTAAAGCCGGACCGGGGGAAGCGGGGCCGTCGGGTCACGGGCGTGGGGGGGAGGGCGACGGCCGACATGCAGTTTTTCCGAATGCGATTTTGTTACGTATGAAAATGGAAAATTTATGTGCAATTTAGTTAGTACGGGCCATCGGACGCAAATGCGTCCCCATATTGAATTACCGCCGCCGTTTGCGATTAAAAATACGCGGCCGGAACAAATGGGACCAGCGAACCTCCGTAATTTTCCTTTGTTTTCCTATGGTGCCCCTGAGGATTGCAATAGAACTCGAATTACGTTCCGTTTTTGAGACCTCCCCGTATAAAGGGGGTTTTGAATAAGCCACATAAAATTTAATCCTATTTAACTCAAAATCCCTTTCACGCGAGTTTCTTCTGAACATCTTGGGTTACCCTGGAAAGAGAGAAACATGTTATTTTTTTATGCCAGAAGCGATGACGCGATTGTATTATTATCCTATTCTATCTGCGGTACGTCCCTGTGCTAATGACCAGGGCGCTGCACAACAATTTTTTAATCCATTTTGCTCTCACATTTTTAACTCCCTTCTGTAGAAAAGTCCTGTACTTTCGAGAAAGTGCAGTGCTAAGAAAAGAGAATTGGAGTTTACTCCTCTTTCACACACCCTGCATGTGCGCCTCCATTATACGGAGTAGTTGATGATGTTGCTTTACTCTTCTCTTAGAGTGATATGGTGTTTAATAGCATGTCTCTCGTAGAAAGAAAATTTCTCTTGAGAGAGGTAGAGATTTTATATTGCGATCAATTTTTATTTTTCACGAACACGGAAAGGATCGATGTAGTACGTTGATTTGACGAGGAACTTATTGTTCTTTTTTCGCCATTTACACTCAGTTCTTTCGACTTTTGACTGCTTTTGCGTATACGTACAACGATTTCCTTCTGCAAACTAAAAATACACATGTCAATTGGCACAAAGTTCATCGGCGTCTATACCCAGCTTCATGGAGACGTTTCCTTTTAGTTTTTACACGGCACTGTAAATAAAAGGGTAATATAATACGAAAAGTTCGACTATGTAGCATGTTAGATACCAGTTAGTTGTTAACTACAACGTTCTAACGTATATATTAAAATCAATTTTTAAAGTTAGTATACGTTAATCACCATCATCATCAAGTATGTCCCAAATCGTGGGTCATTACCTAAAATAAATATAGTTGAAGTTATTTAATTGTCAACCCATTTCGTTGTTATTGGCTGTGATCAATTGACGACTGTAATTAATAAGTACGCATCTCCGTCACTAAAAAAATGACCCGTTCTCCCTTATCAACCGATCTGCCATATTGAAAAAATTCATAATGATCAGTCAGTGCGATAAATTACAAAAAATATATAAATGTTCGAGCGATTCATATACTAACCTAAATGACTTGGTCAATACCGTCGAAACTTTGTATTTGTGTGGATTCTACGTAATAGTTTATTATGCAACAAGTGCGGTAAACGGCATTTGACTGACGAGTGAGATAAAGAATTTTTCTACTTCCGTCTGTAAAATACTCAATTACATGCCGATCTAGCGTGCGGGAAGCGTCACTTTACCAGGTCAGTTTTGTTTCCCGCGAATCCGAGCGACTTCGGATATTTCCGGGATTTTACCGCACGGCTTTGGGAGCAATCCTATGTTTTCCGAGATTTTACTGCACGGCTTGAATTTTTTACGTTTGTAAATTCTAACCGTCATGTCAGTAAATGTATTCGTGTTGTCTGTAAAAAGTAACCGAAAAAGTAACGGTCGTAGAAAAATATAGTATGCAACTGGTGAGTCAAATGCCTTTTACCGCTCCGCATAATATACTATTACCAAATGTGATGCATATTATACTTTTTCTACGAACGTCACGAAAAAATCACAATTTAACAAACTAAAAATAATAACAGATTATCGGGTTACTAAATTTCGTATCATTGAAACACAATATTTATTAGTTTATATTTTTTTATTATTGGATATGTCATACAAACAACGGAATAAATACAATTTTAAAACGTTATGTTGTTTATTTAACTTTTACAATTGATCTTTAAATAGTTTATTTAAAGAAAAAGACTGAAATTTGAAGAAAAATCGCCCAAGGATAGAGCTTTTAAGAGGATTAAATTTTTAAGATTCGTATAAGCAAGAAAATATAGGTCCTAACCTTCAATTTTGTTATTTTTTTTGTACTGATGGATATCTGAAAGTCGTACAATTGATCTCAGCTAGATATTAATATTAATTAAGTTTTTTTTTAAAGAAACTTCGACAGGCTGCTGTAATATTTTTTATAAAACTTTTTATTGAGTCGAACTAGCTAACGTTTCGCCAATCATTCTGTTGGCTTCTTCAGAGCTTCACTGAAACTGGCTCGTATTTCACTCTGTACCTGCTTTTATATTGTATGAGGGGACGGAGCTAAATGAAGGGCATCAACACCGTCATCACCAATGATTGACTCCCATGTTGGTGACAGGTAGAGACTTAAGTCGCGGTTAAGATTGTTAGGTTGCTTATAAATTTCTATAGACTCTCGGATTTTTCGTTGGTACAAGAATTTTAGTTTTATCGAATAAAATTTTATGTCCGGTTTTGTAATTGATTTCGGCAACTGCTGATGAGTTTATTTGTTTTAGTCTTAAGACTCCCTCTCTAAGGAAACCATCAAAGTTTTCTCAACTACCAAACACTGATAATTGTATCATCGTATCAACTTTCGGAAACGGAAAAATTA